ATTACTAATAAATAATAATACTTAATGTAAACAGAAAATAATAGTATCTATTACTTATTATGTAACATGCCTGTTACATAAACATGAAACAATTATCAAAACGATTCGCATATATGTTCTGCCAGTATTTAAATAATATTATATAATATCTGAACTTAAACACACAATTAAATAATGATTTCTTATTATCCAGTATAAATTTTAAAAATATATTCGTAGATATAATTATAAGTATTGAGTACTTGTAGTAAACAGTGTTGGGAATAGATAATACAAAATTTATCTAGATAAAGATAAATGATAATTTCATTTTTATCTAGATAAAAAAAAAAGATATTTTCAAAAAATGTTATTTTTTGGTCAATATTTCATATTCTAATAATATCTATGAAGACTCAATTATAATCAGAGGCGTATTTAGAAATGTCTTATGGGGGTGGAGCACAAACAAAAAGTTCAAAGTATACATAGTTATAACTTTTCTATCTCATAAAACTGTCGTTATTCATAACCAAATAATCAAAATACAAGTGTTTGATAGAAACATAACATTTTATTACACAAATTTATAATAACACATATTTTTAAATATAATTTTTGTAATTACAATAACTGATGACGTCTGGGGTGTTTATTAAAATATGCATCAACTACTTCTTCAGGTTTTATAATTATTTCAGGGTGAATATTAAGTAATGCTAATCATGATATATTGATATTCCAGTATTTCACCGTGTGCCCGTGCGTGAAAAATAAGAGAGCCTACAATAATAAATAATGTATAAAATACGACGAATGGGGGGAGGGAATGGGCCCCATGGGCCCACCCCTTAAACACGTTCCTGATTATAATCATTATTATCAATAGGTACCTAGGTGTTAAATGTTTATTGTAGTAATGTAGTGTACTATTAAACAGTATTTATATATAATGTACAATAATTAATGACAGCAAATCACTAAAATGTTACATAAAAACAAAAAAAAAAAATGAAAATTGCTCTGTACGTATCAGGATGAATACAGAATACATAAAAATGATTTTAAGTTAACAGTATTGTTTTTCATTGGAAAGAGTCGATGGGCCGACAGTACATGTGGCCGACAGCACCGTATAGCCGACAACCATGGCCGAAAAATGTTGATATACTTAATATAATTTATATAATTTTACAGTTTTATTTTGTTCTTATTCTAGTGCTTATCTAATCCACTGTTTAAGTCTTATACATGTATAGTAGCTAATATACCGTCTATAATATAATACCTATAATAATTGAATCCTATCGCATCGAATTGATAGTTTTTCGTTTTCATTCAGTTACATAATACATTGCGTCACGTTTCTTTTTAAGTTTAAGTTTTATTTATTAATATTTTATTAATATTATTTTTAATAATTACCTGAATTAATATTTTCAAGTAATATATGAAATAAGTTTTTTAATAATTTAGTTTATTATTATTGATTGTTTTGATCAATAATAATTTTGTCGGCCTATCGGCCGTCGGCTATATAGTCTGTCTGCCCGATATATTATTAGTCTCATCGGCCGTCGGCCGTATAATCTGTCTGCCCAATGTCGTAATCCCATTTTCCATATAATATTGATTTGATGATTTTCATTATTTTATAAGTACTTAGGACTTTACGGGTTCCAAAAGTGAAGTAATGACTATTCAGCGTATGAGTTACGTGTACTAAATTAAAATACCTACTATATTTAGAACTTCCATAGAAAAATATGAAATTAAGTTTAAAAATACCAAAAATATTTTCCAGGCATGAAAATACAAACAAAATGTCATACCAAGAAATAATAATTACTTATTAATAATACAAGAATAATGATTATGAATACAAAATGTATATATATATAAAATAAAGTCAGGTTATTTACAGAATTTATAATTCAAGAACGGCTGGACCGATTTTGATGATCTCTGATTTATTGGATTCGTCTCCGTACAAGAATAAAAATAACTCTAATCTTGGCATGAATATAGACAATTATCTAGATAAGTAAAAATGTTATCTTAGATAACTTAGAGTTATTTATCTAGATAAGTCCCAACACTGGTAGTAAAATATATATTCAATAACTACATTTAAGTATTTTATATGATAAAAACTATTGAAATTAAAATTTTGAGTTAAAATATTTAATTTGGATTCTGCATTTTAAAGGTACTTATGTGTAATAAATATTGTGTTAGATTATATTAACTATTAACCTGAACTAAAATATAAAAATAGATATTTGTACAGCTTAAATCATCTAATTTTAGAATATTCTTTCAGATATGATAAATGTTCAAATTTCAAACTATTGTATAGTTTCAATATAAAAAAAAAAAAAAAAATGTTGAAAACGATAAATATATAAATAATGCAATCTATGAAGCTATAATTGTGTTACACGAATCAAATGCATCTGAATTTAAATAAAACGTAACCATGTATTATATTATACATATTATACGTGTATTTTTTCATGTTATCTGGACTTGATTCTGGTAAATGACGTAATATATAACAAAATTGATAGTTACAAAACGTAATAATTTTTTCCATTATCTGACTCATAAAATTTTAAAACTAAAACATAAAATTATAAAACAATAATAACAATTTAAAACATATGTATTACCTAATGAGCAAATTTGAAGGAATGAACCATATGTTAATACGCAGTCAACGACAGCCAAATAATTGTTTAATGCATTTTTATATACCTACCTATTATTAGCTATAGAATTTTGAGTTCATTTAATTGAATATATTTTTGGCAACTGTGTATTTATATTTTATAGTGTTAGGTACCTACTTGAAAAATATCTTATTCAAATTATATTGAAATTAAAATTTAATTATATTTCGAATGTCTATGTATATATATACATTTACATATATTTATCAGTATAATCTTTTATTTATCTATTTTTAAATATAATCTGAAACTAACATATTTTTGTTGAAAAATTTATTAGATTGTAAATACCTATTTGTAACGCATTTTATCAGATAAATTACATATATAAAATCATTTTTATTTCATTTTCGTTAAACATTAAAAATTGTATTGAAATGACGTAACGTATTACTATAAAAGTAATGTCGTTACAGTAACGAGTTACTTTCCATTTCGTTACTACATAACGCTGAAGCAGTAAGTCATAGGTGCAACTAGGATAAAAAATCTGGGGGGGCTACAGCCCTCCTACTAAAACTTAAAAGAAACTGTAGATTACCCCTACTCTTATACGCCATGTTAATAAATTTTAGATTCTGAGCCAAGTTGGATTAACTGCAATATGTCTTTTTTGTATATTTTTTTATGTGATACTATTGTCATTTAAGTATTCTGTATGCGGTATACCATGTATAACATGGAATATTTATGGGGGGCTAAATCTTGGTCTGGGGGAGCTAAGCGCCTATGCAGTTAGTACATGTTTTTACAGTATAAATAACTATCATTTAAAACAAATAATGCATGAATCGCAATATTTCAATAGTATATTTGACTAAGAAACTACAAGTGTAACTAGTGCACTAAAGAAAAAAAAACTAGAAACAAATTATCAGCATAGTAAAATTATTATCGTTTTATATGATTGACATTTAAAAAATGCAAATAAAAATACATTTCTTTACTTTTAAGTTAAATTAGTTTATTTTTATTTTATAAAAATCATAGAATGAAATGAAAAATAGTATACTCGATTTAAAATATTATAGCTTCTATGTGTTTTAATAAATTAATTTGTAAAAATAAATTTTCGTTAAAATTTGGTTTTCCCTGACCATAATTTTCTATATACACAGTATCAAATCAAAATTTTTCTAAACAGTAAAAATATAATAATAATATAATTTTATCAATTTATTTATACATTTTTCATTTTTTATTATTTTTTATTTATTTTTTATTATTGTTGTTTACTATTGCATTTAGAACATAATATTTTTACTATCTAAAATTCTATATTTTATTTTGTTTTATTATTAACAAAAATGTTTATCCACCATTCTAACGGTAGTTTATTTTTTCTTGAATCTAAAAAACAATTTTCCAATTCATTTTAGTAACACTACTCTTTTCAACAAATGCAATAATATCAACTACAATTATTTATTAAATATCCAATTTGATGCCCAACTAAAAGTTACAAGTTACAATAGTACAGTTATTGTAAATTAACATTATAATAACTTTTGAAATGAGGTCATGTACAGTATTTAAACATTTTTCAATACGGTCTTAAAGTACATGAATAATATATATTTGAGATATTGATGGAATTGATGGAACCTAGTGTTTTTATCTTCATTGTATTACTTCTTGGATAAAATACTCGTAACAAGGCTTCAGAAAATGAAGTATAATTCGAACTTATTTCGATTACTATAAATGGTGAATCATGTACATTTGTACTATTTGTATGTATTCAGGAAAACCGATAAATCATCGCGTTAAAAAATAATTTTGAATGAGAGTTTGATAATTATATTTTAATTGATTATTTAATTTTATACCTTTTTTTATAATTATTCTAATATTTATTAATAGATATACTTATTTATTTTTAGTAACAAATTCTGCAATAGCTTAAATTTTGATAAAAGCAGAATAGTTTTAATTTTATTACAATAATTATGTTGAGCATATACTTATCTTACTTTAATCTGTGTACCTTCCTCCAGTTCCCCTGAACAATTATGTTTACCACGGTTTAAATATACTAGCTTATAACTTATAAATTATATGTCTTTTGAACTCAAGTTCGTAAATGATCGAAAATAAATGTTTTTTTATAAAAATTACTTTACAGCCAGTGATCAATTAAATAACTATCAATATATTATATAAGTAATGTTTACATTTCACTAGGGTATATTGTGGCGTTGAAGGTTTATCGGTTAGTATAATTATGGTGGATAACCAGATTCCCACTTCGCGGAAAATGACTGTATTGGCTTATAAATTAACGACCGACGATTGGCAATTGTTCATTCTCTCATTCGCCATCAGTCTACTTCAGTTATAATTCTTAAAGAAAAAGAAATAACCATGCAGGTCTATAGCTCAATAGTCTGTGAGTAAAATTGAATTCTTGTTAGTTGTTTACTTGCACATAGAAATATGTAAAATTCAATATTTATCTGTAATGTATAAATACATTTAATTTTACATTTTTGTACAATATCAATTTGTTATTTGTTTGTTATTTTATTTACTTATTATATATTTTTTTTTTTTTTTTAGTGATTTCATATTTATTGGCCACGAGTGCAGCTTTACAAAAACTCACTGAATTATATAAGTGGTCGTCGTTAGACTACACGTTTTCCAGCGATCAACACAAAAGTTACGCTCTCGAGCGTGGTGAATTCGTGCCAGAAAACAACTTACCCGTCGGAATTGAAGTATGGAGAAATAAACTATTTGTCACTGTACCACGATGGAATAACGGTAATATTTTATAACATTTATACTATTTAAGAAATCGGTGATTTTAATTTAAAAAGAATCAGTGAATTACTTTAATAAGATTCGTCATTCCATAATGCCTTTGGATATTATTATACTTACTAGTGTAGGTTATGATTTCACTTTTACTCAGATGAATATTTAATCCTTTAAAAAAAAAAAACCAATAAATCCAAATTTTATTGAAATTAGGAAAAGACTAATATTTATTCTTTGTATACCTATTTGATAGAATAAACTTAATTTAACATAAATAACCTAAATTCAATTTATATATAAGATTTAAAATAAAAAAGAAAATAGATTAAATTATAAAATTAATTTTGACTGTTAAAAAATATAAATACTTACATTTCAAAAATATAGTACGTATTTAATTTTAATGAATGACGTTTATTAGAACTTTATCTTAAATTTTAATAAGACTATCGTCAATTCAAACAATAATTTTGAGCAGAGATAAGTTTTTAATTTTTTTTTATTGATATAAATCCTTGGCAGCAATGGAAATTAGATGAGGAGATAAGTTTGTTGTAGTATATTGATTTCATATTAATTAAATATTAAAAAAAAATTTACTAATAATTAATCTCAGTTTTTTCCATTATAAATAATTTATTCTTTTGAAATTCAAATACTATAACTGTTTACATTTTTAACCGTAGTATAAAATTCAAAAATACCAAGAGGTGGTTTTAAAGCATATTTCCTTTATGTTTCAAAAATGGCGAGAAATGCAATTCCAAGTAACCGTTTTGCGTATAGGCGAAAGGAGTTGATCGGTGAGTGTATCCTTCGACGGTTGTTATTTTATTGCCTCCTGTGCGTATTTCCCAAGAGTGAAATGTAAATGTATATGCAAGAGGAAGTGTCCTTTTACCCTACCTTATCCCTAAAAACCGTACTATAGGTCTCCCTGGAGCCATTGGAATAAAAAGAACATTTAAAAAATTTGTTCTTGCACTTTAGTACTATGCTTCCTGTACTTCTCTTCCCAATAAAGTTTCGATAGCTTGAAACGGAATAGTTTATCTACGTTATGTGTTAAAATATGTATATAATATTATCTTATAAATGTGTAAAAAATTATACTAATATTATGAATCAGAACTGTGTTTTATGTAAAAGAATAAAATCTAATATATCATTTCAGATAATTCAGATTTTGACTATATTCTTATGTATTATTTTTGACCTATTATAATATGATATATTTGGGTAAATTAGTTATTTTTATTGGAAACTTACATATTTCTACACGATACGCAATTGTTGTTAGCAAAGAAAATATTTTTATTTAACAAAATATATTATTCTATTTATATGTTAGTAAGTATTTTCTTATAATATATGAATTTTTCCTGTTAAATCTACTTGCAAGTAATACAGTTAGATACATTTAATAACATCCTTAAATAATACAAAAGATACATTCGGTATTTTCTTTTTTTTTTTTTTTTTTTACAATTGTTTCACTTTTTTTGAAAATTCCAAATAATTTTTCATTAGTTCGATACTTGTCAATGTTAAAAATAAGTTGAAATAATTCACAATATAAATGAAAAAAATAGACAAAATATTTTTTTTTATGATTTATTCAATATTATTATTTTAAATTGTTTAAAATTATATTTAATTATTACTAACAAAATGATTTAATATATTTACTTTAATAATATTCTGGCACTATAAAAATGTTGACAAATATATTAATTCAATAGTTGAATAAAAAATTAACTTACACATAAAAACCATTAGGTATCAGACAGGAATACGAAAAAAATATATAAATGTGAACCCCTATTATGGCTCTGACGACGATTTTTCAGGACGTGTTAATGGTACAATCAATCGTGGTATATCCAATGGGTTTTGAATCGAGTTATCCATTATTTTTCAAACTTTTCTTGTGTATTGCCTTTTTTTTTTTTTTTTTTAAATGAGCGTTGACTTAAAAATATACAATGGCATAAATAGTAATAAAATTAAAATAATATATCTTTGTTATAATAATATCTATTAATCGCTAAAAAAAAAAAAAACAATATTAGTTTTGTTATTCAATTACATTTTTTTTTTTTTTTTTTTTTTGTAGAAATACGTTAAGATATATATCCACGAATATATTATTATGGGAATAGAAATAAATTTAACAAATACAGTTTTCAAATGTCGATTTCATGTTTAAATGCATTTTCTGAACAAGTGATGAATAACACTGTTTTCACTATTTTTAAATTTACCGATTTTAAAGATTTTAAAAATGATAAATTATTTTAATTAAGATCATCTAGCAATATACTAAAATATACGAAATAAAACAATTTTACTTTCTAATGTTAAAAAAAAAACTTAAAAAATAAACACGACATTTATATTGTCATTTGTCTCTAACCTTATGTTGTGTTTTATATAACTTAAATTATTTATGAAGACATGCATTTAATATTCATCTATATTACACAATTAAATTATGTATCATATGGTCTAATGCTGTTTTATGTTTTACAAAAAAATTACTAACAAATGTTATTGATAATGTATTATATATAAATTTGAACATGAATTTTATTTTATTTTTTGTAGCACCTGATATTAGGTAATTGATATATAGTTCACTGTTAACGTAATAGAAGAGTATCAAACACATGGTTAGAGGTTTAATTTCTTGACGATCGTATAACATAATTAAATACGTGTAGACTGTGACGTATTTCGAGTTTTGATGCTCTGCATGCATATACCTACTCTGTTATTTTATTATTTCCAGAGTTAAATAATTGGTACTTTTTTTCATTTTTTTTTTTTTTTTTTGAACATTAAAAAATATTTTGAAATTCAAAAATAACAATATATAAACATACATAGAAAATAGTAAAATATAGAACATATACATTGAAAAATTCAATAAAATAAAAAACATATAAATTTATACTTAAAAATGAGACTTTTGGACAGTAAAATTTTCAACGATCTTATTATAACTAGGTAATATATTTGGTTATCTAACATATTCGAAATCATCAAATTCTTTAAGTGGCTATAATTCATTGAATATCATATATAGGATCTCACTATTTTCAGAACAATAAATTAACGTTCAGTTGGAGTATTAGAAACCAGACAGTGTAAGTACGTTACAGAATATCTACATATGAGTAATCATCGAGTCCATGTGAAAATCGCGAAAAAAATATCGCGAAATGTTTTAATAGCGAAAACATTAATAGCGAAAAGAAAGAAATTATTTTCGTTAGTGGGTATACCTTTATAATATAATAATACTAGATAATCAATAATGTAATTTTGTACTATTGCGTCTTGGATCACGTAATAAAGATAAGCCGTGGTTAAACCTAACCACTGTCAAGCTTTATATATTATATATATATAAATTGTGATCATCGTATAGTGTGATGATGTATTTTATATACTTCCACAAGTTTTGGAAAAATATCAAATTTAAATTTTATTTTATATAGTATTTTGATTTTAATGTTATTTTAATATTAATTATTACTTATTATATTATAAAGATATATACAGTTATATTTCTTACTTTTCGCTATTAATGTTTTCGCTGTTAAAATATTTCGCGATTTTAACTGGCACCCTAAATATATGCTATATTTTGTCTTTGATAATATTGCACGAATCTATAGCGGGTTTTGATAATAAATTTCTTCGAAAACTTTTTAAGTGTCCATGGAAATGCATATATTAATTTAAAAATAATCTAACGAGATCATCAGGATTCTGACTTTGTAATTTGGTAGTTTTATTTCTTATTCATTTATTGAAAAATGAAACATGTTTGAAAAAAATCCAAACGTAGAATTAATATTATCATAAGAGTTTTAACGCTTCCTTAACTTTAAAAGTAAAGAATCTATCATGACAACATATGTGTTAATTTTAAACGATTTTTTGACTTCAAATAATGTGTCGCCTTGACATGATTCATTGCATGGTAATTTTCTTTTCTTATTGAGACCAACTTTGTATTTTTTATTTTTCTATGCCTATTTTTTTACAGTGTGAAAAAGTGCTTTTTAAATCTATTAAATATTTAATTAACGATGAGTATAGGTTTACAACAATCGTTTAATCAATATGGATAGTCTGTCATTTCTTATCGTGTTTATTCAAATTTATTTCCGAAATTCCACGTACTTGGTTCAGTATTATTTATATCATTTAAAGCAAGCATTAGACATAAATAAAGCATTATGTTTTATGTAATACTTTTTCAATTAGTATTTTTCACATTAAAATTAGATGCCTTTTAAGATTTCCTGCCCGAGGTATTTGTCTCCTTTCGTCTTCTACGTAGTCATAATTGCGTTTAGAATATAATATTAGTAAGTAGTAATCGAAAAAAAATTATTGCACTGCGTGTATTATAATGAAAAAAATAAATCAAAATATTAAAGAGAAAATCCTTATATGTTATGAGTATTATAATATTACAAGAAATGAGAATCCGATATGCTCGTGTTTCCGGGATCAATTCCTATAGCCTTGAATAAATTCAAAATACTATGAAATTATAACTTATACATGAAATAATTAAAACAACAATAGAAAACCAAAACGAGAAATCAAAAATCGAAATACTGCAACTTCGTGGGTTGCGCATTAAAATTATACGATACAGTAACTATATTTTAACTCCGGCTTGGGCCGATTAGCTATTATATGGATGACCAGCGCTAGCAAAAATTGATGGGATGGGGGGGGGGGGTTATAAATAAACAAATTTTCCGATTACTTTCTAAAAAAAAACTCTACAATAGTAATATTACTTAGTTTGTTGATGATTGCCAACCAAATAATTAGGTCTTTCATAGTTGGAGGGTATGCATGCCCCCATATTCCTCTAATGCCGGCCCAGATTGTAATCTTTGATCATCACGTTGCAAATAAGACGTGTGCAGATCGAAAATCTGGTTTTTTTTTGTTGTGTGCGATTTTTGAATAAACCATGGCTATAAGTACGTGTAATAATAATAACTATAATAATTCCATTGCGTGAATCATGTAGCGTGTGTTTCTACCACATTACGGTAGGCTGTATGAAACGTGTTATACCATCGTCGTGTCGATCGATTTACGACGATAATAAACGCACAACATTAACCCATTTAACATATAATTTGTATATACGGTTCGAATTAAATCCATACCATACCGTTATGAATGAATTAATTCCAATCACAAAATATCAAAATTCAATAACACAGTGTCAAAACGGTAGGTGAAGTATATGCGCGATGTTCTTGGCGATCATGGTGAAACAATAATCTAAAAAGTATAATAAGAAATGAGTAGAAACGTATAGTCTAAACTTAAATCGCTGAAAATCGACATTCGTGAGAAGAAATAAGAATTTCCGATTGAGAAAACGTTCGAAAAACCGTTTGGTGTAACCGATTCCGATGTTTTCCAACAATCGATCATTGCTAAAAACCAACAAAATTACATGTTACATCAGTTTTATAATATAAATAAGCATAGTGTAACAACATTTTATAAGATCTAAGTTTTTAAAAATGGAAAAAATGGTATAATCAATATATTTTGCGTTTTTACTTATACATTCTTATACATTTTTCGCACAATATTCTGATCACACTGATCCATAAATCGAAATCGATCACGTTACGTTCGAAGCTAGAGGTTGGTGATATTGGCAATCGCCAAGGTTGTAGACATTTTTAAGGCTCGAAATCCTCCATTATGCTAACTCATAATAAAATAATTTGGTTGTCATGTACATGAACATAATTATCATATGTTATAATATTTAATGATGGATTATAAATATAATATTCGTGTAATTATGTATTGATCAAATTTAGAATTCAATGTAGAAATCATTCCTTACTGTAATACATTATACTGATGAGAAGCACAATAATATTTTTTTCGCGACTGAATGTATGAAACGCCACTGGTTGACAGTTATGAGATAATATGACGTTTTCATGTACCACAGAACCCTAAGATTTGTGATTACGAAAAAATTGTCGTCAGTTTGAGTGAAAACCAAAACTTACTGATTAATGATTATATTGTCATACATCCGTTGAGGTTCCAAAATGGTTTTTCGTCAAAGGCGTACAATTAAGGATAGTCCATTGCACTGAATTACACGTGTTCAAAATGTTATATTTATATCGCATGCGGTCATGATATAAGGAGCAAGTGCAAGGTGTATCTATACTTGATACAGTTTTGGAATGTTTAATCGACCGTGAATCTGTTGTCTGCACGCCCACAAAAATGTATGAATGACTAGTTGAGGTCAAGGTCGAAAAATTACGTGTTATATCGTTATGTAATAAAGAAATAATAATAATATTTTCTGTTTATTGAGTTCAGCCAAACCGGTTTCATCGGTCATTGCCGAAACGTGGTATTCGTCTGCGGGTAACGATCATGGGTAGACTGCGGTTTTTCAAATGTAAAAATTTAGGTAGTCTCTTAGGTCATATGGTTCAAATTGGGTACGTGTTGCATAATAATGTTCTTTATGGGCGCAAACGTCGTTGTTCGCAATCATTTTCTCGAATCGTTAATTATTTCTGTGACATTACGGTTCTTGGATGATGAACATTTGTCAAGTGCATCATCGTTTAATTGAAAGAGTTTTCCTTTGTTCCACGATGAATACTTGCTGCGTTTCATCCACTGGTCGGCTATGTTTCATATTGCATACATCCAAAACTTAATATTATATACTTTACAATGGGAACACATTTTAGTTTAGTTAATTTGTGTAATTTTTCGAGCAAATTATTGGCAAGACGTTTTATTTTTTTGTTTAAATTATTTTATATAATTAACGTAACAAAGCGACGTCCTTTCTCGGGTTTCCACTATTCATAACCTCTCAACTCTTGGCAGTGGCGCTGAAAATTACGAGACGTAATTGTTTGCTGTTCAAGTTTTTACTTACCAAATAATAATTTTTGCACCCCAATATTTTTACGCTAAACCAATACCCCCTCTGGCAGATGAAAATCTCGCTTACTGCAAATAGTATTCATATCCGCTTAAACTTAGGTATTTCCTCAGTGACCTCTCTTTTCTCCTCATTGACTTTTTAATATATGCATTACTTATTTTTTTTTCAGTGTTACGAATTTATATATTTATACGAAGAAATGGCAAAACTTTACACTTATTTTTATTTTTAGATTTACATTTTGTTCCCATATTATAAATTATAATATATCCACTCTACACCTATTTTTCACAACATATTTCAGACATTTTGTTTTTATAACACGCAAGTAATGATTTTCAGAACATAATATTATATCTTCTGTCAGTAAAACAAAACAATGACATACACAGTAACAATATAATATTATTTTCAAACACATTTTCGCAAAACTATAATTGCCGTTTAATTAAGTTAATTAGCGAATATAAGTCGGAGTGTATTAAAAATATTCAAAGTGACTAAATTTCGTCGAGCACTATAGACTACATGAATAACTTCGTATAAATTATACACTAGCTTACAATTCCATATGCATCAATAGTAATGTAATGATTTATTGTTTCATTTTTTTTTTAATTTCTTAGTGTCATATACGTCATCATCAGCGTTTAACAGTCATAAAAACATATTAATTATTAATAAACTTTAACAAACATTATTAATATAATATTAATACTACGACTAAAATAAAATAACAAAATACTAAATAAAAATAAAAGTAATAAATACGAGTATCGTGTGCTAGTTAAAATTAAATTATGATTCTTTATTCTAGTAAGCATTTGATTTAAAATGTTTTATATCATACTATTATAAACCATTCAAATTTATATTTACCCGAAACATTTTCGTCTCCTGTATTGAATAAAAATATTTATAGAAAATATGAATAATATTCTAACAACATTAAATACTCTTTAATGCTAACTAAATAAAAATTATCACGCGTAGAAATAGCACTTTGCGTTTAAATTTATATTACTCGTATTTAAAATTACAACGAAGTTGAATAACTCATATGTGGGAATCTCCGAGAACAATATATTTAGTACTATATTATATATTATATTATATTATATATATATTATATTGCATTTAAATACTCTAGTTTCAATGTTAGAGAAAATATAACATTTTGAGTAATATACTTCTCGGAATATATTCATCAGAGCTTAACAGAAAAACTTTATCAAAATAGTTGGCCATTAAATAATTGTAATATTAATGCCTCGTTTACAGATCAAAGAATGTATTTTGTATCTCCCGATTTTACATGCATATGTCTGATGCCTAAAAAGCACTTAGACAAAAACTAAATATTGTATAAATTAAAATTTTTTATAATTATATTGTTTTCTTTGGTGCACAGCACATCATGCACATAGTTGCCCGTTTAGTTTTGTATCTGATTGTTTCATCGATAAATTATTTTATTCCGCTCTCTGTCACTTTGCGCTGAATTGAAAGTATTGTGTATATCGATAAAACCTTTAAAATTGTTTGCAAACATTTCTAACCTTTTAAAAGGAACACAAACAATTCGGACCTCGGAAAAACACGTAAATATATTTTGTTCCCTAGTTACAATTAAATGTATTTGTCAGCCCTAAAAACGGGATCCGGTTCAGAAAATGGTAAAGCTTCAATAGGTTTACAGTGTTTACATGCAACCCATACTAATTGGTCGATTTAGTAGGTCTATTTTGATAGCATTTAATTTGTAAGGATAAGAGATAAAAATCTTTGTAAGCTACCAAAGCTAATATTATTTATTTATATGGTTGAAAAAAAAACGATGAACTTTGTGTATCTTTTATTTACACCATTATATTATATTTGATTTAACAAACAACAAAATTTTAACGTCAAGAGAAACAAATGATTAAAAATTTTAAGAAATTAAGTAGAAAAATACAATTTTAATCAAAGATAGTTTACTTATGGAAAATATATAAAAGCAGAATTGTAGTTTCATTAGTTAAAAACAATAAAATATTCAAAATTGAGTAAGAATATAATATTTAGCCATATTATTAACATAAAGAATAACGCATTAATTTTGATAAATCTTTTATTGGTAATTTAACTAATATAACTTGAAAAATTATGTATTATTTTGACAAATAAAATATTAAAATATACTTGATATTTTAAATTTGCGATTCCAACTTATTAAAAAAAAAAAATATTGTTTCAATAAGTTGTAATTTTTTACTATACCTAATATAATATTATAATCAATTACAATTGTTTTTTTTTCATCGGTACTCGTATAATATGCAAAATATTTATTTAGATTTAAAATTTAATTTTAATTTTAATTCTTTACACATAAAAATTACTGATCAAAATTCAGTATATATACTTCCCCATTTCATATTTATATTTAGTGTGAATCTCATTTTAAAAATTATCTGTTAATCTTTGATCTTATTATATATTGTATTACTTAATATCAAATAACTATTGTCATTATTTTATTTTTTTTCAGGAGTTCCTTCCACATTGAATTACATAGCGTTGGATGTGAGCTCAAATGAGTCCCCAAAATTAACCCCATATCCAAATTGGGCTTATAACAGAGAAGGTAACTGCGAAGGTTTAACCACCACATACAGAATCAAAGCAGATAGCTGCAATAGACTTTGGGTTTTGGACTCCGGAACCGTTGGAATTGGTAAGTTAAACTAACAATAATTTATTTGAACTTTAAAAAATTATAAATAATAAAAATTTAATTTATAACAAATAAAAATAATCGATGTTATAGAAAATACATAATATATTTCGAATAAGTTATTGAAAATAAAAAACAAACATAATACTCATTTAGAAAATAGAATTTATTGAAAAGAAGAAAAACACATTTTACTGCAGTATCCGTGAAACTCTTCTGGATAACAAAAACTTAATATTTGTAATAAATGAATTATGAACATATTTTTTTTTTTTTTTGTAATTTAATATATTATAAATATTCCCATTGGATTGTGATTCGATAAAGTTTTTCTACTCTTTTCGTCCGTAATTCATTATGTATTATATCTTTCTATATTCTTGGTACACATAAATTGGACAGCTTACATATAACATGTCTCCTCGTCAATTCAAACTGTATTGAATTGGAGACGGTCGTTTGTCAGCAAGGGGTTTTTAACTTGGCCGTCAGATAATGAAGCTTCCATGGTAGCCGTTAGTCGCATTCAGTCCGTTTACCCTTTTGCCCGTACTGCTAAGATTAAGATATAAGGAAGCATTTAGAAGGAAAACTGGTGAAGGGCTTTGAAAATCAGTAGCCAAGTAACCACCAACGAAACATAATTCCCTCCCTGCAGACAGCAAAATTGATGACCGTTAATTAATCAGAAGGTGTGGTTTTACACAAATAATTGGATTAAACAATTGCTTAACGGGTAGAAAATATATATTACCAAACAACGAAGAAGAACATTTTCAAATAAGTTTCTTTAATAGGGTCGGAATCTTTTAAAAAAATCATTCATTAATAAAAAATGATAACAGCTAAATAATAAATGGTAAGATAATTTTGTATTAGTGATGAATTGTCTGTATATTATTTATAATTATAACAATTAACTATGATAAATGTTGATATTGTATCCATATAGATATTTTATCACTTTCAAAGCATAAACTGAAACTTTATTCAAAATAAATGTTTTTAATGGATTCTATATGTATTAAAATGTATTTAAAGAAGTGTTCCGGGAAAATCACTTTAAAATATAAATAACGATAATATGTACAATAATACTTCAAATACATTATGAATACCGATTTTAAAGGTTCTTTAGGTACTTTTAGTTTATCCCTAATACTGCGGTAGTTAAATAACATCAATCAGTGAAATTCTTAGTACGGGATCATATATTTTGAAATAAATATTAATTTTTCAGTGTTATTACTGTTTTTTTTACATATCTAAGTATTATTTTAATATAGTTTATATAATATTTTTTATGATATTTTAATAGGTAATACAACAAAGCAAGTATGCCCGTACGCCATTCATGTATTCGACTTAACCACGGACAAAGTATTGAGAAAATACACTTTAAGACCAGAAGATACTAATGACCGTACTTTTATTGCTAATATTGCCATTGATATTGGATTAAAGGGTTGCGACGATACGTTTTTATACGCATCCGATGAATTAGGCTACGGTTTAATATCTTACAGTTGGGAATTAAACACATCTTGGAGGCACACACACAGCTTTTTGATGCCTGATCCTTTAGCTGGAGATTATAATATTGGAGGTAAATAAATATTAATTTTAAATTGTAATTGACCCGTTAAGCTTTAGCTAAAAAATGGTACCCAATTATTTTAAAAAAAATAATTATTTTATCCATTAATTAAATTTATATTACAATAATTTACATTTAAAATTAATTATATATATTACGTCGGTGCTTTTACATAAAAATCGATATTTTCTGGAATAATCTATTAATATTACACTGAGACATATTTGGTGAATAGATTACAAATAATAAAATCATAGAAAATTTTTTAGTCACAAGACAATATATTTCATAGTATAGATAAAGTAAACATTTTTTCGAGCACAACTGTTATAACGTATTATCACACCATTATAAGTTTTATTATTTTATCTCATATTTAATAAAATAATTCTTCTGATTATTAATACTAATTAAAAAAAAAAAACATTATATTATATTTTATTATATTTTAAAAATGTTGAACGCATTTAGTATAAAATAATTATCAGTTGCATTTTATAACTTCCTTCAATATTTTACAGGTATTAATTTCCAATGGGGAGAAGAAGGTGTATTTGGTATCACTGTATCACCAATAACCGAAGATGGCTTCCGAATGTTATTCTTCCACCCATTAGCCAGTAACCAGGAATTTGCGGTGTCTACGAAAATCTTACGCGATCCTAAACTTACATCTGAAGAAATATATCACGATTTTATTGTATTGAAATCTAGAGGTCTTGGTGGTCACATTACCTCTCATTACATGCACGACGATGGAATTCTATACTTCAATTTAATCGATCGAAATGCCGTTGGTTGTTGGAATTCCAGACTTCCATATGAACCCAAGAACTTAGGAATTATCGATTTTGACAATGAAGCCTTGATATTCCCAAGTGATGTTAAAATTGATTCGTTAAATAACCTTTGGGTAATTTCTGACAGAATGCCTGTTCATTTGCTGTCAAATCTTGACTTCAAAAATGATATAAACTTCCGTATTTTCTACGCCACCGCTGAAACAGCTTTAGCTGGTACAATCTGTGAAAATCACATTCCTTATCAATCAGATGAATACTCGAATAAAATCACTTCTAAAGTGTATGGATATTAATAATTGATATTTTATTTTATAATTCCGTAGTATTGATATGTACCATTTGTGAAAATAGTTTTCAAAATAATTTAAATAAAATATAAACTCAAATTAAACACAATATACACATAATCTATTATGTGTAATATATTAAATATATTAAAAATATACATATTTATTTTCTACAAATGATTTTTTTACATAGTTGAAATCATATAAAAACATTTATGAAAATAATTCTATATACTAAGTTATATTAATAATAATTATAAGAATACCTAAGTAAATCATGCACATAGATAAAATATTTTTTATAAAGATATTATTATAGAACTATTATATATTAAAAAAAGTAATCGAATGAAAAAAATTTGTAATTTACACTAGCCAAATATTTCAAACTAATATTAAACACAATAAAATTGTCGCTTCTTTATAAATTAAGCAAATTAATTTATCACAGTTGTATATAAATATTCATAGTGAAATTATTGTTTATAATTTTAAAATATTTTTAGTATGTAAGATAATTCGGAATATTATTATAAATGTTTGTGTATACTTCGAAATCGCAATATATATATATGTATAAATTTTGTAATTTAAGTATTTATTAAAACAAATTATATATATGAAATAAACTGCTTTCAATAATACTTTTGTTTTATATTTTTTGAACATAATAATTTGTAATATCCTACAGTGACGGTGATATGGGGTAGATACTCATACTATTTTATATATCATTGCAAGGTTAAATTTTAGAAATAATTATCGACTATTTACTAAAAATCTTAAGAACAATCATGAACCTAAAATTTACCTTATGTGGTAGTGGGTTTAATATTAAAGTTTAAATTTTTAAATTTCCATTAATGATAAAATTATGTTAAAAAATAATTGCATAATCAAATTTTAAAAAAATGGCAATATTAATAAATTTAGTATTAAATCTACAAGACCTTATACTTAAAATGTAATTAAAATATTTTTCAAAAAGACTATATTATTAAATTAATTGCATAATACTGAATTATATTAAATATTATCTAACTTCAACATTTTAAATAATTTTTGACAGATAATTTTCTTATTTAATTGTCATCTTTGATTGTATTCAAATTCAAAATTGTATTGGCATCCTAGGTAATACACGAAATAAAGATTTTTTTCATATAACACTTAGCCGATGTTCAATTGGTTCAAATAAGACCAAAGAAAATTACTGAGCTCAGTAGGTACTCTTGTATAGTTACATCAATAAGACGCAACTTGTTACACTTCAAGAGAAACAATCTCTCTGTTGAGTGAGAAGTTCTCGGACAGACTAATCTCGTTGCGTGACCAAAGCTACCCACCTCGATCTTGTGATTTTATGCCGTGTGATTTTTCTTATAGGGATACACAAAGTGTCGAGTTTACCAGAACTAAGCAAGAAATTTGTCGTGTTTTCAACGAACTTGATGGGGCAAAGTGTGATCGAGTGATGGTAAATTTTATGAAAAGAATAATCGCCTGTAGGGCTAGTAGAGAGGGTCATATGCTCGATATTGTTTTTCACTATTAAACTTTAACTTCTCCTGAAGAGAATGATATATTTGTTATATTTTTAAAAAAAATAAATAAATTTAATTTATAGCAGATTTAAATCCTGCGTTATTTTTGAAACCCTCTCTCTCTCTATATATATCAATTATAATGTAATAATTATGTATTCATTGTTCGATTTTAAAAATAATTTTTAATGTTTTACAAAATCAATGAGTATGAGTATTTGTAAAATGTCAGACATGCCCAGAACTTGACTCACTTTTGTAAATTACAAGACTTACAACAAATTAGATAAATACAAATCAACCATTATCAACTTCAAGTTACATAAGCTGCTTATATGAAGTTATGAAATTAAATTTAGATTACATATGTGACATATATATATATATATATATATATATATCACTCGGTTATGTCACCGTTGCAGTGTTAGCATGAGATTTTTTTTTTATTACCCTACAAAATCCCTAAGCGTGATTTTTTTTATTATAATATGTGAACCAATTTTAATCTACATAATGAGCCGTACTCGATACTTTTTTTAAAAGGTCACACCATTATCGACATCTAGTTAGTTATAATAATAATAATAACCACCACCAGTTTCAACGATGCCGACCGACTAAGGCGATTGCTGCACAATGGTCAACACGGACCAACGCTGCACACAACGCTATCCGAATCACCGAAAGATGGCGCAATCGGACCAAGCTATCACAACAGCCACCGAAACACCAAGTTTACGGACGTCTCAAAAACGTATCCGTCAAACGTTAAGTCCCTTAGACATCGTAGAACATCAACTACCATCGCACACCAACCATTGTACACGAAATCATAAGGTAAAACCAGGTAAATAAGTAAAAGTATGCTCAATGAACAGCGGTGCTGCATCGGTACGGATAACACGAACATACAGATAAGAGCGCCGCTGTACACCGTTCAAACACAGCATCGTTCTCCGACTATCACGGAAACAACTCATTGGTCACTGTTTTCACCCGTGAAAACACATTGTATTAACTTTCGCTTCTGGCACCATATTCTGGAGTTTAGTAGATGTTAATGCATAACATGGAATAACGACTGTAGCATACCACGCCGTCCGCCGACTACACGCCGTCTGCCGACCACACGCCGTCTGCCGACCACACCCTGTCCGCCGATTACAGCTCGTCCGCCGACTACAGTTCGTTCGTCACACGCCAGCCGCTGACTAAGCGCCGTCTACCGACCACAGTGCGCTTATTACAGCTCGCCCGCTGACCACCCACCGTATGTACTCTTATTTGCCGTCTACGCCGCTATTTAGCCGTCCGCGCCGAACGACAGCAGTACACTAACAACATACCGCAACCAGTCATATACCAGTCGTGTACCACGGGACGATCGCACACACCATCTCGTGGATATTAGAACTGACCAGTATATTGGTATATATTTATAGATCTAATTATCTGATATAAAATTATAAATATATGAATTATTTTTTTGTGTACAATACATTTTTTTCTTGTAAACTATTTATGAAATATATCAACTATTTGTTTATTTGATGTATAATAAAACTAGCTAAGGAATTTCAACAAAAAAGCACACAGCGTTGAGTTCTTTACATTTTAGAGTACTCACCCTTAAAAAAAAAAAAAAAAAAAATATATCATAGACTTCCCAAAAACACACAGAATTGTAAAATGAATATATTTTTGTTGGTTTTTTTATAATTTATTTACACATGGTTCATAGAAATGGAGTTGCTTACATTTTAAATATCATAATTTAATGTTGGTATAAAAATCTAAGATGTTTAATCGAAAACAATATAAACAGTTTATGAGATCAAAACGAAATTGTTTCAAATTAATTAATTAATTTGATGTAAATGGAAACATATAAGAAACTCAAATTGATCAAAACCTGATAGTCCATTTATTTAACCTAATGAAATTAAATAAATTACTAGATAATAATAAATAAATCAATAATAATATATTGCTTAAAATTAATGACATAATATTATATATATATATCTGTTGGCAGGGCCAAAACATTTGATAAAATATACTTATAGTATGTATCTTTAATATTAATACGAAATAACAACTTACCTTTTACAATACATTTATTTATTAATTTACCAATACATTAGATTTTAAATCTTCAAACATAAAATTATTTTTTAAATCGCAGTTATATTATATTGTATACAGTTGTTTTTATCACGCATTTTTAGACAGAATATTTGACACCTCTATAACAATGCTAAATAATAATCGTTATCTGAATAAAAATTAAGCATGTAACAAACGGTGAATTAAAACATTTATTATAATTATTAATATAATTATATTTATTAACATTTAACATTATTCCGCCTTTAAATAATTAATCTAATGTTAATAACCCGAATTAAATCGTAATATTTAACATTTTTTTTTTTTAATGTAAATAAAATAGTAAAGATTTTTTGAATTTTTGTGTAGGTAGAACTGGAACAACTTGAGGTATGATTATGTTGACATTAATAGTCGATTCTTGTTTTGTATGAATGATATAATTTTATTTAAGCCTCTGGAAAATTATTCGGCACCTGCCATTAAGTAATAATTATGTTATTTTATTTGTATTCTACTAAGTATATTAATTATACTTCACGTAATAAAATTAATCCAAAGAGATAAAACTAAGCTGAATGATTTAACGTATGGGTGATACATTTAACATAATACACTGGTTATTAAAACAAATATACTTCTAGCAAGTGCATTCTGTTTTCAAAACTTCGGCCTTCTAGACCAGTGGTTCTTAACCTTTTTTAGTTCAGCGCCCCCTTTATCGTAATAACTAATTGCTAACGCCACCCCCCCTCGTGCAAAATCAAATTTTCTCCTTATAAATATATATATATTTATATATTTATATATTTATTTATTCATCAGTATATTATAACATTATTAATTAAACTATTAAAGTAAAAACTCTTATTTTTAGATAGTTATGGTTATATTTTACACAACTTAACAAAACAATTTAATACTTTAATATACAAAAAGATTTACTGAACTATAAAAAAAAAATTATAAAATATACAAATTATACCTATCAATGACTGCCCTGAGCCTGATGAGTAGCTGCTAATGTAACAATGTCTGGTTTGATATTGGTCAAAGCTAAACGTAGATCACCTTTGTTGCAAATGTCCAACCGATTTCTTTGTTTCATCAAAAGCTGAACAACAACGCTAAATCCTTTTTCAACTAGATACGTTGACGGGAAAGAGAGAAGCAACAATTTAACTTGTTGCCATAGTTGTGGATAATTGTCTTTAAGCTTGATCCAGGTAAGCTCGTAACCGACCTGCTTAAAAACAAGTTGTGCCTCACAGTCGTGTTTAAGATCGATAAACTCCATTTGTAAATGAGGTTCGAGATCTTTCACAGATTCAAACGAAATTGGATCTAAAATCCAATTACAGATTTGTAACTCAAGTAGGTCTTGAAATCTTGATTTCATGTCATTTTTGAGCTGCAAAATATGATCAGTGAAAATTAGAATTTTGTCTTCTGGAATTAAACCATTTGCGTCTGAACATGACTTGAGATTCGGAAACTGAATCAGTTCTTGACGATTTATGTTTGTTCTGTAAAGATCTAATCTAAAAATGAATGAGGAAATTATTCCTTTGGCTTTGATAAAGTTCATCTTATTCCCTTGAGCTTCAAATTGACTTCATTCATTTTTTCAAAAATATCTGTAAGGTACCCATTCTCAATTTTTCGTTGCTTCAAATTTTCTTTTAAGACAGGATCAATTTTATTGAAAAATTCAATGATAGAGTCAAATAATGCAAAAAAACGACACAAACATTTTCCTTTGGAAAGCCACCTTACTGCAGTATGCAAAAGTAATCTTTCAAAATATTCATCATTATCATGACAAAGTTCTCGAAACATGTGGTCATTGAGTGAACTTGCTTTAATATTGTTTACAGCTTTTATGACGAATTGAAGGGTTTCGTGCAGCACACCACTTAAGTTTTTAGCAGCTAAATGTTGGCAATGTATAACATAATGAACACAAATAACACCTGGGACAGCTTTTTTTAGGTGGGCTATATACCCAACATGACGACCGGTCATCGAAGGAGCGCCATTCGTTGCGTATGCAATAATATTTGTCAAGAGGACATTTTTTCTGATAAAATATTCCTCCACCGCTTGAAAAATCGACGACCCTTTGGTATCAGTGATCAAACTTGTAGCAAACAATAATTTCTCGACGATTTCTTTACGTTCATTAATGAACCTCACGTAAGCTAGTAATATAGCTTTATTATCTGTCACAGTTGATTCGTCAATCTGTAGTGCAAAATTATTTTCTCTTAAATATGATAATTTATAAATTTGTTTTCGATGTCATCTGCCATTTCATCAATTCTTTTGGAGACAGTGTCATTATTCAAAGGAATTGACTTAATCATCTTATTGCTAGTACTCTCTCTTTGCATAGTATCGGTTATTTCCTTGAGAGCCGGTAAAATAAGAGTTTCACCGATTGAATGAGGTTTACTGTTTTTTGCTATCAATAAAGACACCTTGTACGAAGCGACAAGTCCTTTATCAAGATCAGATGTTTGTTTTTTAAATAAACTATTCACAGTAGACCGTTTTTCAATTTTTGCTTTAAGAGCCTGAAAAAACGAAAGTGGTTTCTCCAGTTTATCGTAATGAATTTTTGATAAATTATCTTTCATTCTTGATGGCTTCATTGCCTCATTCGAAAATGTTTTTTTTCACATATAAGGCACAACGGTAACTGTACATTAAGTGGTGATGCGATAAAACCAAACTTTAGGTACTCTACTAAATACTGACGGCACTTCTTTTTTGCACCATGATCACTCATTATAAAAATATTTATTAGTGTTGTCAGAAAAACGCACTAGTTTATTCGAAAACGCGACGTTCACTGTAACGATATCAATCACGTACTGCAAGAGTGCAAGGTACAGTATACAATAGTCCAGTTATGGTTGAAAATGTAAAAATAAATCTATTATAAACAGGACGTTCCCGATACGTAAAATGCGATTAGATAACATGTCGTATGCCGTTGCATAGCGTACGCAATTGTCGCAATTACAACTATTCTGATTTCACATTCAATTATTTGTAATGTTGTTATATAATAATAATAAATTGTAATATTTTTCATCTCCGAGTTTGAAAAAGCTAACCACCCCCTCAACGCCCCCTTCAAAACTATCGCCCCCCAGAGAGACCAAAATGCCCCCAAGGGGGCGGTACCGCCCCCGTTAAGAACCACTGTTCTAGACCATGTCATTCAACAGATTTGCCTCTACATTTCCCTATCCAATGCTAAATCCTTTCACTCCATCCCTGGTCTCACTTTATCTATGTCATTTTTGACCCTATCTTCCCAGCGTAATCTCGGCCTTCCAAGTGGTCATTTTCCTTGTGGTACATTCTCCTGTACTATTTTTACTGATACTCATGATTCTCGCCAAGAATGACTTGCCCACTTCAATCTTCTTTTGGTAATATCTTCTTTAATGTTTGGCCTTTGATATAAATCCTCAAGTTCTTTGTTTTTGCGTATTCTCCATTTGCCTGTTGATTCGTTTTTACATGGTCCATACATTTTCCTCAGTACTTTTCTTTCAAACACTATTAGAGCATTTTCGTTAGTTTTCCTTAAGGTCAAAGTTTCCGAACCATATGTTACAACTGGCTTAAGTGTCTAATATATTTGGGATTTCAAATTTTTTGAAATTAATTTAGATCTTAATAACTTTGTCAGGCCAAAATAAAATGTATTCGCAGATTATATTCTCGCTTTTATTTTCATAACTATTTCATTCTAATGAGTTATTATTGCGCTAAGATATTTGAAATGCTGTACTCTTTTGAACTTGTGGTTATCGACTTCTAGCCACTCGTTGCGGGGGTATTGCTCGTATCTTTGAACTACCATATATTCAGTTTTCTCCACGTTAATCTCTCAGTCTATACGTCTTGCAGAATTTATGAGTTTTTCTGATTGTTTTTTGAGCTTATCTTTACTTTCTGCCATCAAAACTATGTCATCTACATATGCTAAAATGTCGATGTTACTTTCTCCTAGTTTTATACCTTTATCTAGATTTGCTTCTTTTATTACTTTTTCTAAGACTATGTTAAATAGAACAGGTGAAATAACATCACCCTAACCTGTCTTAGTCCAGTTGTCACTTGTACTGGTTTTGACAGCGTGAGTCCTACTTTTACTTTGACTTCACTGTAACTAATACTACATTCTATGAGATTTAGTAACTTACGTGAAATTCCGAACTCTTCTAGAGTTATAATTAGGGACGCTCTATGTATTAAATCATAAGCATTTTTGAAATTGATGAATAACATATGTACGCTTTTATTATATTCCTAGGTTTTATGTAATAACTGGCGTAGAATGAAGATTTAATCTATCGTAGAGCGGTTTTTCCTGAATCCAGCCTGGTAGTCTCCTAAAATTTCTTCTGCCCAAGGTTTGATTCTATCTAGTATATAATAAGATAAAATCTTATAAGTTACATTAAGCAGAGCAATCCCTCTGTAATTGTTATGTATTTTTTTATCGCCTTTCTTGTGGATGAGATAAATTAAAGCTGTCTTCCATTCTTTTGGTGTTTCCTCTTTTTGCCATATTAAACCTACTAGTCAATGTATATATTTAGAGATATCCGCTCCTATTTTGAGTAGTTCTCCGGTAATTTCATCTTCACCAGGTGCCTTGTGGTTTTTCAAGGTTTTTATGAAGGTTTTTCACACGAATAATTTTTTCGTTTTTCAAGTTTCTGGTGTTGAATATATTCGGGTGTTCAAACACCACAATACATCATTTAAACAAACGTTTGGATTTTAATAACCATTATTATTCGGGTTAATATTGGTTAATACTGGTGTTAAGCAGTCAAGGAAAAATATTATTTTTCATTGGTGGAGGACGGTGGGTAGGCTGAGCCCCCTCCACTAATGAAATATTTATATTTTTTGTTACCTGCCTATGTAATAAAATATCAATATCTTATACAACTGTGCAAAATTTTTTTAAACCAAACTATCATTATGTTAATTTCAATCAATGGTGTAACTACGATTTATTTTCAGGGAAGAGGAGGTTATTTTATCTGTGTATGAAGCTTATAAATTATAATATCCATTAAAATTAAAAATACTAACACTATGTCCTACTCCAAGTTAATGCAGGCATATAGAATGCGACAAAAAAAAACTATTTTGTATTCTGCGTTTGTGTTTGTGACATAGGCAGAAATCGGGGAGGGGGGTCTTGAGGGGACTAAGCCCCACATAAATATAAAGTACAGGTTGCGATATCTCAGTACATAAAGTTCTGTCGATCGCCCGTTGACGATCACCTTCAAAGGTACATGGGTCGCCAACCAAATACCGAGACCCTTTTTGGGGCCAGAGTAATTGGATTTTACTATCGTGGTCATTTACACCTTACTCATAAATAAAGGAAAAGGATTAATAAAGAAAATTACATTATAGATGAATATAAATATATTATAAAAAAAAAAACTTTTACATGGTGGAGAAAAGCTCGTACGGGCTTTATATATATATACAGTCGATTCTCTGTAACTTAACTAAGTTCAAGAGGAAAAATACAAATTCGACTTATTAAAAATTTTGAGTTATCAATACTTTTAGAAAGTATGTTTTTATTTTTAAATAATTTAATTTTTACATTAAAGGAATAAAAAAATATGTTTTCTTGTATTCCTACATACGTTTTATTATTTTTGAAGAATTGGTGTTAATTGTTTTTATTTAATAAATTGTTCTAAATTCTATTTTCAAAAATTCCCTAGTGGTTTAAATAAATAATTTCGGTAAAATATTTTAAAAATATCTATTATGCATTGGTCTAATGATTGTAATTCAAACGTAGTATTAGGATATAAAAACTACACTTGAATAGCATTAAAAGTTGAAGTTAAATTGTTTGCAGTATAATTATCAATAATAAGTAAGATTTTCCTTTACTCAGTGGCCATTTTTTTTTTATCTAATTTCATTAACCACAAATTAAAAATTTCGGATGTCATCCAGGATTTTTTGTTCGCATACTAATCTAATGGTAATGATTTTACTTGTTTAAAACATATTGGTTTTTTCGACTTATCAATCAAAATTGGTCTTAATTTTTCTGTACCCGACATATTTGCCCCTAACAAGAGTATTACTCTTTCTTTGCTATGTTTTTCACCTGAACAAGATTAGCCTTTAAATATGAATGTTTTTTCAGATAAACATTTGAAAAATAATAAGTGTTCGAAATAGTTTTGTCTAGAATATTCTCGGGGTAGTTCGCGGGCACCGCCGGTCTACGACTGGGCGCACGGCGGCACGTGTTTCTGGGAAAAAACCGGTCTGCGGGCGGCGCAGCCGCGTAATTTCTAGAATACTCAAGCTACCGTGCGCTACGGATATAAAAGGCCGACATACCCCGGACTCTACAGTTTGTCAGTTACACAGTCAGTTAGTTGTTGTTGTAAACTATACAATTCATCAGTAGTGATCGCCGGGATCAATTTTTTATAATATTTTTATATCGCGTTTTTACCGGCATCGGGCCGAATATTATATTAAAATAGGGTATGTCGCGTTCTGCCGGCAACGGGCCGTAGCATTGTAATTATTAGTGTTTTTATGTTTAATATACAGTCCATTTTTTAGTTCATTGAATTGTGTTGGATCAGTGTTTTATCGACATTATTATTACCTGACCAGTCTCTCACGGTGTTCTATACACCCGCAAAACTTAAACCCGGATATAGTCGCCAACAATAAGTCATAATTAAGTCATAAGAATAATAATGGCCTTGATAAACAATTTTTAATACTGAATTTGAATATGAAAATCCGAAATATAGAAAACTTGCCAAATTTATTTTCAAGTTAACAAGATTATTAAAACATTAAGTGTTACTGTTATTTGAAGGGGACTTTAATTATTCGAGATATCGAGAATTTCGAGTTATCAAGGTTCGAGTTACCGAAAGTCGGCTGTATATATCAGGAGCGGCTAAACGGTCGATCGCGATTGACCAGTCGATCACGGACGATTTCACAGTCGATCATGTTAAAATTTATTTTTAGGCCACGTGCACTTCGGCAATGCCCAGATCAACAAAATAAATATTAAAATGTTAATTATATGTAAGTATTTAGATTTTAGAAATTATTATATTATTTTTAGTAATTAGTAATTAGTTTATAATACTTTATGTATGTATACACATTTTAAGCAAGTATGTTTCTTAATAATTATTTAATAATAAAAACATTTTTCCAAGAAAGTCGATCTTCAAAGGTGAAGTATGTTTTTAGTAGATCGTGGCCGAAAAAAGTTAAGCTGTTAAGCTGCCTCTGTTATATATATATATATATTCACACTATTATTTGTATTAATTTACACTAAAATAAATTAAATAAAATTATTAAAAACCATGAAAGTATAGATTATTTTTGCTTAAATTTGACAAATATACCGTTTGAAATATTAATACAAGACTATATAATGTAATATTAATACAACTCAATTTAAATATTTTATGAACATAATAAATACACGGTGTATCAAAAATGTTTACCCAATTTCAAAAATTTATATTTATATTAAAAATAAAGATATAAGGGTGAAATAAAATAAAATATATTCTTAAAATAGACAAGATTT